AATTGTCAATTCTCTTAATTCATACACCAAAGTAGAAGGAGGTTTTGCAAGTGTAAGACGTGACGACCATGCAATTAGAAGATCATCAACATAGCTTCTTTCTTGCTGAAACGTAAGATTACATTTTTATATCTATTTCTCCCCCTCGGCCTTTTCTACTGTAACGATACAAAAATGCATCCTTCAAATCTGCCATCTTTCTTGATATGTCTTCCATTTTCTCTAGGTGTAAGTATTTGTATCTTCTTTTCGATGATTCTTTTCTGGTCGATCGGAATTATATTTTCACAACCGAGGGTCATCCTCTTCCGGTATTGAGTTCTTGGCATGAGAGGCTTCCCGAGACATACATCCCTACCAATTGGACTTATGCAAAGGTCTCCCTTCTGCTGTTCTCTTAATCGTTCATTTATAAAAAACAACATGGTTTTACCGTCCTAACTGGTGATATAGCAAGAAAACGCAGTGGTAAACGTGTGCGAGCGTAAATGGTGCAGGGTGAACAGCAAACAAGACGTGCAAGCGCGATGTCTCTACGAGAGTGTCCCGCAATGGCTTTGAGGTCGGGATACGGCGTCCAACAAATCGAGAGTGCATGCCACATCCCTGATTCTCGTGCCGATCATCGGTGTTTCGATGAGGAGGAATGTGGAGTTGACTCCACTACGTGTAGAAGAAGATCATGCAGCATGGCCGGTTACTGCGGACTGTGGATCCCATGATAACTGAGAACATAATCAGGTATTCTTTCTAGCGAAACATAAATTTAATGAAGATTACAAAAAGGTCGATAGAGTTATATGTATGTCCTCAGTTTGTAAACTACCCATGAAAGATGAAACAGGAAAAGGAAGCTTAGAAACCCGTAGTACCGGCAAGATATACTATAGATGTGCTTTGTCACGTAATTTTCCTTCAGCTTTTGACCCTTTTTTTAAGTAGAATTACATTTTTATTTATTTAATTTTAATTGATTGTTAAATTATGGACATACATGTATAATTATAATGTCTAAAATATACTTTATATATTCAATTTTATGAAACCGGCTAATTTTATTTTAAAAAAAGTATCTAAAAATATAATAAAATATTATAATCATAATCGTAAACTAAACATGTATTTAAAAAAAGTATCTAAAAATATTTTTGTATTTAAATTAAATTTTATAAACAATTTAGGTTTAAATAAAAAATAACTAATTTATATTAATGTAAATAAGTATTGATAATTTGTTGGGATCAAATATTGGGCAAGTATAATTTATAGTTTTAAGACATTGATTATTTAGAAATATTTAGATATATTATATTAGTGTAAAATATATAATTTGTAGATTAATTTTTTATTTAAACCAATAATTCATATTAATTACTAAAATATTTAAAATGCATTTTATATATCAAAATATTGTTAATGAGTTGTCATAAATTTTTATATTTTATTATAATTTAAATTGATTTATTTCATATAGTAGTGATAATGATTTTTTATAATTTGATATTATTATAAGTAATATCTTAGTTTTAACGAATTTAAACATTACGTAACTAATTTTTAATTTACAACATCACATCTAAATAAAAAAATTTATCTTTCTCAAAAATATTTTTTGTCAAGTAATATAAAAAATTAATAAGTAAGGTCCTAAGTTCGATTCCTTGTGTATGCAAAAAATCTCTATTAGGAGACTCACCCACCAAATTAGGTATACGACGCGGGTCGATTCGGATTAGTTAAGGCGAAATCTTGGACCCGATAGGGCAACCAAAATGTTAAATTTAACATTTATAAAATACTATCTAATCACACTATTCAAGAAATAATATCAAATTGACCCTAGTCTTTGCACTATAAAAAAGAATTATTATTTGATACACAATTATGTACAACTTATTTTATACAACTTGTCTAATTTAATCTTAAATACTAAATCTTAGATTTTACTCTTAAATCATGAACCTTAAAACTTTGAGTCTGAACTCGAAACTTTAAATCTTAAATTTTGAATAAGATATGTGACATTAAATTAATTTACACAATCCGAAGTACTTAAAAAGAGAATATTTATTATTCTGTTAAACATTAAGTGATTAAAACATTAGCATTTTAAAACTAGTGACTAAATTGAAAGGAAGGCTTTAGTGACCAAAACGTAAACAGTCTAAAAGTTAAATGACCATTTAGTAAAATTTTAGCATGTATGAATTTCATGAGATAGCTTATTGTACTCAGCGTCCTTACCTTTGACCCTGGGGCCTACTCCTCACACCTCATTACTGCCTCGTATATTTATTGGTACTAGTATAAGTATGAGGGTGATCGAATCCGGGTATCCGTAACTAATACCCGATTTTCTAGCTATGTTTCACTGATATAGATACGGGATGGATACGGAGAAGGAAAAGAAAAATGATAATTTTTAAAATTACAAGGTACGAGAAAAGCGAGAATAAGATATATAATATATTAAAATTATAAATAGATGTAAAAAATCATAAATAAAATCAATACTTTATATAAAATTGATGTAACATCCTAATTTAACACTAATTAAAATTCTAATTTGAGAATTTTTTCCAAATCTCTAAATTAATTTTAGTGTCCAATATAAAAATACTGTAAAAATTATTTCCATATTTGTAATCCCTAAAAAGCTCAGGGATCAACTGAAAATTATACCAAAAATTCTGTAAATCCTATTCTAACTCTTCTTTCTCCCCCGCGGCGGCTTCTTCTTCCTATTACTTCTTTTCTTCCTTTTCACAAAACCTTGGGCCGATTCTCCTGCCACCAACTTGCAGTTTCTATGAGCCTTTGAAGACACTTGTCTTCTTGCTTGAACCATGTGTGGCTTTTGAGACAGTGGTCTCTTTCTCAGTGAAAGAAGGGACTTTAGACTTCTCAGTAAACTTGGACGTTTGACTCCTCTTTGATGTCTCCTTCAAGCTTGGCTAACCCGAGTTCGAAGGAAGGATTCCGATTCCAGGTTACCTTACATCAGAAATGGTTGATCATCGTGATTCCAAGCTTTTTTGGCTCAAAGGATTGATCCCTATGCAAAAGGATCAATCCCTTTGATCAAATGATCGATCCCATTGAAAAATGATTTATTCTTTGGACAACAGTGAGTTTGAGATTAATCATTTCCCAAAAAAAATGATCATTCTGTGTAACGGTCGAAATATTTGAAAAATGATCAATCTCTTTAGTAAAAGGATCGATCTCTTGTGCCTTAAAAGTTGCAGGTAATGACTATTTTAATCCCAACGGTTAGAAACGGCTAGTAACTCATTGCAACATATAAAAACACTTCAAGGACACTTGAAAAAGTAGAAAAACACCTATCTAAGCAATCAAACATAAGAAACGAGTTTTTCATTCTTATTTTTGTTTCTCTTGTAAATAGCGTGTGTTTTGTGAGCTTAACTTTGTAAACACATTCTTTTTGAGAAGTTTCTTGTTTACATTTCCTCTCTTGTAAATAGTGTGTGTTATCTATTTATCATTGAAAAAAAAGAACAAATTAATAGATTTGTTAAAAAATCCTAAGTGAGGATCTTAGATAGTGAATGTAGACTTGATTGATAAATCGAACCACTATAATCATTATGCAAATTTCACTATTCTTATACTCCTTACCTAAACTTTAAAAAGTCAATCTACTCCCTCTTGACACATTTTTGTTGATCGATCGAACTTCCTTAAACTCAACAATTGACATCAGAGCTTGACTCATTAGAATGACTAACAACCTTAAGATGATCCTTGTTAGAGAATCAGGAAGTTGACCTGATACTTTTGTAACCATTTAAATACAGATGAGTCAAACGTTTGCAATTCCCAATCTCACCTGATATCAACCCACTGATATCGTTCTTAACAAGGCTAAGCACGAAAAGGGAACTTACCTTGCATATTGAACCGATATCGACAACACCGGTCAGATTTAACTCATCGAGAACTACCTTGTTGATGGACTGCAACCGCAGATGATACGCCTTTCCATTTGTCTTTGCAGGGGTCTGATGTCATGTTCCAACCCCAACTTTGGTCTCTTTCTACATTTTCAGCTGCAAGTTGGTCCACGAATCTCACCAGGGATTGCTTCACTTCCTCGTTTTCGGAATTTGAGACATGGAAGAGCAGAAATATCGAGAGAGGCAGTACCCTGATGAGAACTCGGTTCATCTTCGACGAAAATAGAAAGCTTTAGCAGAAAAAAATGTGCAGGAAAAATGGTTTTACTAACTTCATGAAAAGGGTTTGCTTGGTCATGAATTGTTGTAGAACAAAAGAAAATAGAATGGTATACTTGTTCTGTCAACTTTGCTTGCCAAATGGCTGATTTTGCCTGGTTTGATATGTTAATGAAAAGACTGTTAATAATCTTCCAAATTGACATTTTCTAATTCGATTGCCGGTAAAGTGAAACAGACAAAGAATCTACGTAATGCCGTCTCACTCACATGCCAGTTCTTCAGGCCCTATAGAAAACATCTTACAAGTAAAACAGTAACAAAAACATCACAAGATTAAATAGAAGAAAATGTCAAGATATATACAGAGAGAGAGGAGGGGGAAAGGAAGATCTCGAAGTTTTTTTTTTCTTTTATGTTGGGACATGTATGTGACAGTATGCATTCGCATGTTCAGCCGTAAATATCCCTTGATTAAAATAGAAATTCTATAAATATATGCTTATTTCGGCTTAAAGTTAAAACAAATGTAATCAAATACTAGCATATACAAATACAAATACAAGACAATGTATTCCCTTAGTACAGGATCTATAGGGAAAGAAGATACAAGCTGGTATTAAATAAGAGTATTTGATTTTTAATGTATCAATAGTTAGTGCCATTTCTCCTATTGGGTCCTAGCATGTTGAAGTCACTAACTTTACTTGTCACTTCTATTTTTATCTATGCAACGAAGGTGTTCATCATTGCTTTTATCAAATGTTTAATTCATAGAAGCCATATATCTTAGGAGGTAACCTATGGATCTGCATGTCCAGTAAATTCGTCATCACTCGATCCGGTTTCTTCATCAGTTATGTCGTCGTCATCAGTCTCGTTGTCAGCTGTGGATTTCGTGGTGTCTTCTTTCTTTGCGTATCGCTCACAGTATTCTGCTTCCACACAAACAAAAAGACGGTAATTACATCGCTTAGCATAGAAAAGAACACTTAACAACCACCCTCCATTTCTTACACACTCGTTAAACCAATTAAATGCAATCACCTTTTACTTTTTGATCGTATTGCTTTCGATCCTTCATCATCAACGATGCCGCATCCCCATTTAGGGGGTCTGAAGGGTTTGGATAAAGCAAGAGTTGTGGAAGGAAAACCTCGAAAATGTTTAAAAGATCTGCAGCGGAAGGAAAAAGAAATTGTGACTTACGATAAAAGAAAACAAAAGTTACTAATTTGTGGGAGAAGAGAGGGTAACAATGCAAAAAAAAATGTACAGGGACAGCGTAAAGGTGTCAATCAAGAAAATGAACAAGTTCTCCGGCTTATTAGTAGCAATGGCAGTAACCCGATGCTTACCGAACATTGGACTCCATGATTGGTTAATAACATCCAAGCATACAGAACCGGACCTGTAAATTATTTGAATACACGGGAAAAAATATCAGATTCAGTCAACTTGGAACAAGAACCAGCAAGGCAAAAACCAGAAACACAAAAAGGTTACCAAGATTCTTGTCCATTAACAATTAATACAAGAGCATCTTAAGTGTTTTTTTAGCAAAACCATCTGAATTTTATATGGCTGACCATGTAAGCTCAAAGAAACCAGTTTTGAAGACATTTAAAGAATGAAAAGAAACTACAGCAAAGAGACTGCAGTTTGTAATAGTCGACTCCGAAATTATAAATTCCTCACAGTTCATCAACATTTGGATGGAATATCTTGTTCACAAATCCAATAGAAGGAGACTTGAATGGATAAGCATCCGGAAGCTCAACCCGGATTTTCCAAACCCCACCTTCATAGAGACCTGTAAGCATTGAAGTTGATACTATTGAAGGAAAAGTGGATTCGGATAAAAGTATAAAAGATGAAGAGAACTCCCTAAACAGAACAAAGTTTCAAAAATCAAATACCTTCCATAAAACAAAAGAAAAGGAGAGGTATCTGAGACAAATAAAGCTCTCTTAAGCATATAATAAATTTAATCAAATTTATAAGCATATATGGCACTATGGAGCAGTTCTCTGAAGGTCCTGCACCTGGTTTTCATTAGTGTTATATGGATGCAAACTTTGCGAATTTGATCACAAGTGTTTTGGTTGAATTTGAGATAGATATTGTATCCTCTCTTAATAATTATAGAACAGGAGACTACCTTAAGTAATTAAACATATGAGTACCATGCAAGATGGATCATATCAAACACACATAATCATAGAACAAAAATTGAAAAGATTAGTATAAGCATACTTCTTTGGGACCATGAAACTTGACGTTGAATTCGTTGAGCCCATCATTTATTGTTTCCACGTTGTAATCACTCATCATCCTAGATAAAATGAATACACAAGGAAGGAAAAGAAGAAAATAAAAACTTAACAGCAGCCAGACTAAAATCCAAATTTAGCAGCGATTTCTAAATTCAGTAAAGCTTTCACGCAGAGGAAATGGAAAGAGTTCATCCGAATAAAGTAAAACTACCAAGAATTGACATAATAACTTAGGCAAACAAAAAGAGATGTTTATCACCAGACTTGTTAAAGTGGGACGGAAACTCTATCAAATGCAATAAACTCGCCACTAAGTAAAGGTGAAATCTGAAAGCCATCAACATGTTTTGTTGTTCGTGGATTACTTAATTGTGGAAAAGAAACAAAAGCAGTAGCAGAGACAGTTGCATTTCACGAGTATTTAATGAATAACGGCCATTCAAACTAACAATCCCATTGAAATTATAATCCTATCCTGCCCCGGACAGTCCATTGATCAGAGTATAAATGTTCCCATTCAACAAATCCAATTCCAGTTACCATCTTCACTGCAGATAGGAGTGCCCAAAAAGACCATGGAAAATATTATTTCAGGAAATGCATTACAATTGCAAACTATTCTCATCATCCAAATCCGAAAGAGAGAGATTGGATCATGTGAGCATAAAACACTGCAAATATGAATATGTAAAATATGTAAGAGAAACTTACAACTTCATTACATCCATTTCTCTCCTCTTACTTGGGAAGACATTTTAAGCCAGTATTATGAATAACCAACTACCTGCAGAATATCAACAATAAAATTACTTCTTGCACTTTCTGCAAAACTAAAGTTTATTAAATGAACTTGACATTTTCACGCTTCCTCTTCATAAAAAACATTTTAGGAGAACTAATCTGATATGGGAGAAAAGACATATATTAACTTGTAGAGACCTAAATGCTTCATTCTAAGAACCCTCAAATTTTATGTCGTGCACCAAAAATGCACGTTGATTCAGATTTTATGGCCATACAATGTTTAGTTTTCCTTGTAAAAGATTCGTACATGTTAAAGTCATAAGTAACTGAGCCAGAGGACTGAAAGCGGTATGAACGTCTTATAGCATATTTGACAGAAAGAACATAAAACAGAAGAAAAATACTGCTAGCCTTTCATCTGATTTCAAATTCTCAAACAAGGATAATTGTTTTCTCACAATCACTTAACAATAAAATTTACTGCTGGTTCACCATTAAAATGTAAACATTTAATGGTTTTTAATATCAAAAGGATCTAAAGATATGAGTAAATATCTGTAATTAGAAAAACAACTTCAAAATATTTAGATCATAAGCTGATTGGATTGGTATATGATCCTGAACCAAAGAGGAGAGGTTGTGGAAATTTTGACGAGTTTGTTCATACACACACTGACCAGATGCAAAGATCCAAACTCAGCATCTTTGTATTCTTCTGACCCAAATCCATATGCAAAATATGTAAAGATAGAAGATTCAAGTCTACACTTCAATTCCCAGTAATCCATAGATATTCCTACTGCTGCAAATCTAGCATAAAATTCTTAGTTTGGAACACTGGAAAAACAAACAAAAAAAGGAAAAAACTTCAAATGCTGCTTATAAGTGTCACAAACCCTCTAACCATAAAACAAATTAAACCAATCTCATGAATCATCAATTTTCCTATTCTTCTAGCATTGGTTTTGATCCATAAATCAATATACAATCCTACAATGCAATATTCCAGTTTCGAAGTTGAAATCTAATGGTGCTGAAACCAAGAATTTTGTGATAATTGCCACAAACGGATATATTAAAAATTGCCTTAACTTCTCAAACATTTCTCTTTACAATACACATTTAAAGCATCAATCTTTAGATTTCACATTTACATCAGAATACTACACATACAAATCTCGCTTATCCTTCATAAAAACTACCCATCATCCTGAGAATGCAGCCCAATCGAAAAAGAGAAAAAGAACTAGAATCAGATACAAGGCATATTTGAAATGGAGAAATAAGGCATTAGAAACGCGCGCACGCACACACATATTATAAATAACCGAATTATCATCTTTTCATTCACATAAGCTTAAAATTTTCAACAGAATGTAATAATTTAATATCCATGGCCGAAAGACGAAAAGGTATCCCCAAAAAAACAACCGAGAAATTGTTCCCTGATTGATCAGTTAAAGCTAAAACGGAGAATAAAACCGACAATGAAACCAACGATGATATCTTGCGTTTCAGCAAAGGGTTAACTTACCTATAAACAGAGATTCAGGGAGAGGGTTTCGAGCGGTCGTCCTATAAACAGAGATTTCCAAAGATGAACCCAAAATGAAGATTAAGGAGAAAGAAAGAAAACAGAAATAAAGAAGAGGGAAGAAAATAAATAAAGAAGTTCTATTCCGTATCGAAATGTCGTCATATCTTCATGCGCACGTGCTGCATCCAAGTGTCTGTACGTGGCGATGTATGGTTTCATTCACCACAACAATTTTATGTAGCCATGTAATATTCATATTTATTTTAGCTGAAAAAACATTTCAATAATTTTAATAATTTCAATATTTATTTTTATATAGCCATGTAATGTTCATATTTATTTAGTTATTCGTCTATTTTTGTGATCGATCATTCAATTATTTTTCTAAAATTATATCTAACGTAGTAATATTATGCTTTTGTTTCATTATAATCACTTATTATTAAATACTTAACGGTTACGTTGACGTGTTACTATAGATTATTTATGTTATCATTGAAAAAAATAAAACAAATTACCATGTAAACAATTCTATTTAATTTTTTAACGAATAATGATCAAAACGGAATAAAACATAACATGATTTAAAAAATAGTTAGGTGAACAAAGGAAACTACAAAATAAACAGATAATTAAATACATAATTTATCAAACTAAAAATAAGACTTAATTGCATGTCCCTAAACTATAACCCTCATTTTATAGTAGTCCTTAAATTTTTGAATATTCTAATTTCATCCTCAAAATATGACTCTCATTCTAAATTAATCCTTATACTTTTGAATATTCTAATTTCATTCTTAAGCTATGACCCTCTTTCTAAATTGGTATACAAACTTTTAACTATTCCAGATTCATCCAGATTCATTCAAATATGTAATTAGTTTATCTAAAACATCATTAATTAAACATATGTAAAAATGTCACCTCTTTAGAGAGTAAAATGACTATTTGTACAAACGTTGAGGACCGATTATATTATGCCTTTTTAATAGTATATGATAATTTTAAGATAATATTTGTCCAAAATTTTTCTTAACTATTAAGAATGCACACACTTAAAATGCAGCTAGCTGCTCTTGTATCGACTGATTCTGATTTCCTGCATCAAGGAGACAATAGCTGGTGGAATATCAGTCAATAGAAAGAGGGCTGACGCAGGCCTTTCACAACTAAAGGTTAGAATATCCGGGTTTATGTTTCATTTTTCAAGTGGTGATGATGAATTGATGATACATATACATATGAACACTTAAGATGAAGCAAGTTCTGTATTTGAAACTAGTAAGGAGTTAGCTTTTATATATCATGGAGTCGTTGATCTAGTATTCTCAAACAACTTATTTTCAACCGAAAATTCACGTTTGAATCGTGATTATTAACTCAAACCAAGAAACTGAAAAAAATGGTGCTTTTCCGTTGAAAAAATTCGTTTGGAAAAACGAAGTCCTCGGGGCCTAGAAAGCTAAGAAACAGCAAGGGTAAGCACTATAAGTCGAGACTGAAAGCGTCGAGGAATGCGACGTCGAGAAGGTCGCGAAACCAACATTCAATCATCTTATGCATGGCCTACGTATTGGATGATGATATTATGTCAGATATTATTTAGTGAAATATTTTATAATTTATTAATTGTTTATTGGCATAACATGTAAAATAAATATGTCAATTTGAAATAGATGTGAATTAAATTTAAAATTGAGATTATTAAAAAATACTTGAAACAAATTTGAACACTAATTATAAATATATAAAATGTAGTTTTTGAGTATTTGTCTAAGGAAAACAACAAATTTAATAGCTGCGTTCCGATTAATAAATAAAAAATTATAATAATATTAATAAAAATGATAAAAAAATCGTATATCAAATTCATGTATTAAAACAATTTATGGTTAAACTTCGATGTGTTATAATTAATAAAAATAATCATAATAAATTTTAAATATCTGACTACATGTAATAATATAACATATAATTTTATTAAATACATGATTTTTTATCATCGGTATTAGTTAGGGGTGTTTATATCCAGGTACTCGCTTTTTCAAGTATTTGAGATTTTCGAATACCAAAACTAGGTCCATGTCTCAGTCAGTAATATGTGGTATCCGTAAGTCGAGTAACTCCTTTACATTTTGTTCACATGGGGTAGTGGAAAATTGTTTCAAATGGTGCTATGCGTCTAGTACTAAAACCTCTATGAAAATGCTAGGATTTTTCTGTGGCATTAGTGAACTGAACTTTACCCCAATCAATGATGCTTTAGGTATCTGACTTTCACCAGTTTTCTGAGTTAATAATGGCCGTGAAAACTACAGTATTACCCCTTTGATCAAATACATTCTATGATATATCATGTGGCCACGTCTATTTCGGTTGGACATTCTGATGGTTCTGTTTCGATAATTACTACTGCAGAGTCGGGAATAGAAAAGTTCCAAGAGTGGAAGGAACATGACTTTGAGCTTTGGACAACTTGCTTTGACATTCATCAACCACAATTAGTATATAAGGGATCGGATGACTGCAAATTCAGTTGTTGGGATATACGGGATAGTCCGTCCGAGAGGGTTTTCCAGAACCCCAAGGTCCATAAGATGGGAGTTTGTTTCATTGCCAAAAGCCCTACTGACCCGAATACCATACTTACGGGTAGCTTCGATGAGTACTTGAGGGTATGGGATCTAAGGTCTATCTCAAGACCAGTTAATGAAGCTTCAGTTTGTCTTGGTGGAGGAGTTTGGAGAATCAAGCACCATCCTTTTGTATCAGGCTTGGTCTTAGCGACTTGTATGCATAATGGACTTGCAATCGTCGAGATCAGAGACGAGAAACCAGAAGTTTTCGAAGTTTACGATCACCACCATAGATGTCAGAGGTGTGAGCGATCAATGTCAAAAGGTTGAGAGTTATTTTTGAAAAGATACTACCATGTATTTACTCCAGATTATTAAAAAAAATTATGTTAAATAAACACATGATCTATTCCAGTATACTAAATTTAAAAGTAAAAAATATCTTAAAAAACCTTAAAAATAAAAAATAGGAAAAAAGTTAAGAAAATATCAAAATTCATTTAGAAGCATCACAAAATTTATTTTAAAAAAGAATACATAAAAGCAGAAAAAGAAAGACAAATTCAAAATTATAAACAAAAAGACGAGTGTTTTGAAGTTAGGAACTAAATTGAAAAGAAATTTGGTACCGAAATGATAATCAGATGAACTTTGGAGGGCAAAATAACATTTAACCCTTTGGTAAATCCAATACCGACCCGTTCTGATAATATAATATTTAGGTAATTTGGGCAAATACCTTGTCATCTACTGGGGTGGCACCTCCGCTTTAAAGAAACTGAACTGTGTCAAAATCGTTTCCATCGTCAAACAGTTTCTCTATTTTGCGCCACCCAAATTTGATTAATGGAAGCCTCTGAAAAGCAAGAAGAAACCCACCCAAATGTAAAGTCTTTTTTTTTTTCAATTGCTATTATTTTCTCCGATGGTATATGATATTGTATTTCGAGCTACTCATCTTGCAATTATATGTTCTCTTGATTTCCACAAAGTTCTAAATTTTTCTGGTGCTTTGGTTATCTGTACTTATTGGCATGAATTGGTTTGATATTTGATCGATTCTTGTTTTTGGTGAAGTTAGCTAATCTTATGGCTCAGAATGATATATACTAACTTCTGTGTTTCTAAATCAGAGACCAGAAAGGTTAGCTGGTACTGTAAACTGGGGCACAGCCACTGTCATTGGAGTATTTGCAGGCATGTTATATGGAGGTAGTAAGGAAGCTGCTGCTTCAGTTGTAAGTTTTTGTTTGCTTAAAAAAAAAAGCTTTCAATTTGATGCATAAGGAGTTGCAAGAAAGTATGAATGTGATATAATTTGTATGTGTATGTGTGTGTACTTATGTATGATATAATTTGCATACAATGGAGATCTTTACTGTTCTGCAATTGTTTTTTTTTTCAGTTATGTGATTGGTCATATTTTGGTATAGAAAGATTTTCAATTTAATTCCTAGGAAGTTGTAGGAATGTTTGAATGTGGTATAATTTATAAGTTATGGGTGTGTTTACAATCCTGGCAGTTGTTTCCTTAAGTTGCAATCATGTGATTGTACTTTATTCCTTCAAAGCTGCTTATGTTTATGTTTTTGGATTTCTTTTGAGATCAACTATGTACATGCTAATAGTTAATTCATGTTTTTATTCTTATTCTACAATGTTTTTTACTGAAACTTGGGAATTCTTTGGTAGAGCAAAGATGCAGAAGTGATGTTGAAGCTTGGCAGCACTCCAGATAAACGAGAGCAGTACCGATTGATGCGAGATGCGATGGAAAAAAGGTTTATCCGAGTCACTCGTGGCTCAATTGTAGGCGGAATTCGACTTGGAATGTTCACTGCTGGATTCTATGGTTTACAAAACTTGTTGGCTGAGAAACGGGGTGTCCATGATGTATTCAATGTTGTGGGTGCAGGTTCTGCAACTGCCGCAACCTTTGGTCTCATTAGTAATAATTCATACCTTACTAAATGCAATCATTTTCCTATTAGTTCCAGTATAGTTGACCTCTATCATTAACTTCTTTCACAGTTGAAAGTGGAACCTTGGAAACATAACAAGGATAATATATGATCCTCAGCTGTATTTATCTTCTTTTTCTTTGTTGTCGATATCTGTAGTGCCTGGGTCTCTTCAATGGCGTGCAAGGAACGTGGTGCTAGGTTCAGTTCTTGGAGCAGCTTTATGTTTTCCTCTTGGTAATCTATTTGCACTTTATAATTTCGTACTGATATTTTCTTGAATTAGCAGTGAAATGATCGTCTTCAATGGGTCGTTATGTAACTGATGTTTAATCAGTTGTTCATTCAATCACGACCCAATGTTACCATAAAAACCTTTAAAGGTGTCAGTAAAGGAATCCAATTGCGTTTTGTGATGTTATATTGTTAGTGTTGGAAGTTTAGAAGATAGGAGAGCTGATTTATAGGGTCGAGACTGGGACTGGGACTGTGCATGTAACATAGAAGTTTCATTTTGTGACAGGTTGGATTCACTTGAAGCTTGTAGAGAAAGCGAATGAAGGGAACACGGCTGCTAAAGATTCGAGAGAAATGGGAGAAGCAAAGAGTGGTCTCGGGGCTGCCATTGATCGTCTTGAAGAGAACTTGAATAAATAGACCCACAACAATTTGCATAGATAGAGAAGACTACAGAAAGCAGTGGCATGGAACTAAAATCTAATGCTCTTGGCAATGTTAAGGGCCAAACCTAAAGTTCTGCATGGGATAAAGGGTTGAGGATATCGGAAGCATGGAACTGTTATTTGTGTATTTTGTTCGATTGCCAGGTCCTTTTCCAGCTTTTAATAGTTTTATTTTTGTTGTTGATGCTTTTTTGTTAATGGTATTATTCTCGTACCCTTAGGGGACGTTGATAATAATCTTTTCCGGAATTACATTTGGTTCAAGAGCATTCCATCCAAGGGGTAATGAAGCATTGCCTACATAATAAAAAAATGTAGCATGAATAAGAAAAAAATAAAAAATGTAGCATATTTTTTTATTAATGTAGCATTTCAAGTATTTTATTTTTGTTGTTGATGCTTTATTGTGCTACACTTTCTTTTAATACTTATTTTTCATATAATAACACATTTTTATATCATATTTTTTTATTAATTTTATCAAATAATTTGACATGGGATTTCGTCGTACAACTCATACATGTAGCATGAATAAAAAAAATGTAGTATTTAACACATACTTACACCATATTTATACCGGTGTAAGTGAATAAAATAAAAAAGTGTAGCACTTAAAATATACTTATATCGTTGTAAGTGAATAATATAAAAAGCGTAGAAGTAAAACATACTTACACTGGTGTAAGTATGTATATCTCTTAATATTTTAGTATCTAAAAATAAACACGTAATTATATTGGTGTAAATATGTTTCTATATTTTCAAAGAAATAAAAAATAAAAATAATAAAAATATATATTAAATTATTTGTGTAAATATTTTATAAATAAATTAAAAAATAGTAGACAATATTTTCTATGAACTTTCATGTAAAAATATTTTAACTTTAATATTGAGAATTTAAGTTGTTAAAAAAGAAAATAAACCTCAGACAATTTGATAAAACATACATTTTTCTTATCTTATAATCCTTCAACCAAACACGGTAATCTTATATTCTTGTCAAACAAACCAAACAAGATAATACAACATTTTCAGTAATGTGTTAAGTAATGTAACATTTCGGTAATCTCAATCCCAATAGTAATCTTACATTCCATGAACCAAACAACCCCTCAACGTTCGTGTGAAAGCCACTTTAATTTTTATTTTTATTTTTGACATTTTAATAATGCTTTAATTTTGATCAAAATAATTTATTTTTATTGAAAATAGTTAATAAATTAATAGTTAAAGCTTGTTGTTTACTAGGTATTTATTTTAAATATTGATATAATATACTGTTGATCATTAGCTAAATAACAGTTTTCAATCTAATGTATTATTTATTAACAATATCAGAATTTGACATTAATAATATCATAAATATATATTTCTCAAATTCTCTTGTAGCTTTATGAGAATAATTTTCATGATTTCTCGAACGATGTTATTGGTTTTCTTAGAATTTTTTTTTTGAAAAGTTTAAAGAGATGACCATCTAAAAATATTGGTCAACCTATTAGAGATTCTTTTAATGTTGTTACGTAGTTTATTTGTTTTATTTCTATGTTAAATTTTTCAAGTCAGACATGAATCAAGCGATTTCAGTGGTTAAAGAAATGATTGTTATCTTTAGAGGTCCGAGTTTAAGAATGAACTATTACGGGGTATTTGAGCGTAAATTGTCAAATAAAATTTTCAAATAGATATATAAGTCAAAGATAATGTGAGGATCGAATTAATAAATATCAAAATGTACATGTACTAAATTTAAACAAATTAGAGTAGAGGTATTATTTCCACAAGTTTCATGTAACCCCTAGACTCAGCCTAAACGTTACGACTAGATCTAACGGATTACATGAAAATCTTCAAAAACATTCTTCAATACTTTAAAATCATAGTATGACAAAAAAGATAGCAAAAACATAAAAGGTTGCAAGTAAAACAAAATACAAAATAACAACATGTATCGTATTAACAAATACATCGGTAGTAAAATAAAATACATCATAAAACCAATATTTCAAAATGTAGACATGTATCACTAAAATAAAGACAATTTGAAAGATGAAAACATTACAACAAAATATAATGCATGAAATGTGTCGATACTCCAAGTGCCAAGTCCAGGTTGCCTATCCAGAAGTATCTAATAATGAGAAAGTTGGGGGAGATAGCTAGGGAGTTTAGTGTGTCCCAGTAAGTGGAGTATAAAACATACATGTTGAGTTAATCAATCGACGAATATAGCCAAGAGGGGGGGTGAATTGGCAATTAAAAATTCGGTGGATGCTTTTGCAGAAAATTGAAAATATTTGCACATCGATTTAGAGTGGTTCGACTTTCTCAACCAAAGTCTACGTCCACTACCTTAGCTATTCACACTAAGGATTTTCCACAAATTCACTAATTTGTCTTTCTTTTGAGGACAAAGAGTAACCTTACAAATCCCTCAAGAATTATACCTCAAATTCTTGAGAACACTCTCTCCCAAAGAGAACAATACAAATTTTGCAAACTTACAAGAAAATCCTCACAAGGTAAGATGTTTGCACAATTCTAGAACAAAGAAAGAACACTCAAGAATAATTCAATTGAGCACAATAAGTGTTCTTGAAAGCAAGGATGAATATTGAATGAAATTTGGCTTGAAATTGCTCAAACTTGAGGTTTGATGCTTTCTCTTTGATTCTCTCTTGATTCTTGTTTCTTGTTGTTTCTTATTATGAACAATGGCTCCAAAGCTTGTTTAAATACTCCTTCAATTGATTTTGAACGTTGGGAATGATTAGTGGAGTCAATAGAGCCGTTTAAGTGTGAAAACAATTAATAAAATCAGTTGGGAGCGTGTGTGCATCGATGCATAGTCAAGGTGCATCGATGCATCAAGTGTAAAGTTCAAATATTTTGACTGTTGGAACACTTAATGCATCGGTACACTAAGGGTGCATCAATGCATAAAATGCATTCGATGCATGGTTTGTGCATTGATGCATAAAATGCATTCGATGTTTTCATAAAAACTTGAGCATCGATCGATGCATAAAATGCATTCGAAATGGTGTATGCATCGATGCATCAATGAGTGCATCGGTGCATCCCTTCACAAATTTTATTTTTGGCTAATTTTTTGTTCGAAATAATTTGTGAAAATTGTTTCAAAAATATTTAAGTATAAAACACAACTTTACACTTTAGTAAGGATTAAAATTGAACTTTGAAAGACTTGGAGTAATATTTTGATATTCGAATAATTATATCGAATATACTTAGAAAATCTTTTATAAAATCTTAAAATTCATTTATCTTAATTTGTTATATCGAAACATCAAAATGTTTTCAACAATCTTAAAATTATATTTGAGTAATTTAAGATTTTTTTTAAGAAAATCATTTTTGAAATCAAATTTGAAAATCACTCCCCCTTACTATGATACATCTTCTCCCCTTTTTGTTAAATCAAAAAGACTCTAAAAGGTTCTTAAACAAGAAAAGAAAATTTTAGCCAATTGATTTTATTAAATATAGCTTAAGCTGCTAAGATTACAAGCAAGAGAAAGATTAGCCATTAGTTTCATAAAACAATATTCATACATAAAATGTGTAATGGAGAATTGGTCATATATGTCTAAATGATGTAAAAATTAAGATAAAAATTCAAACACACCAAATATGTATTAAGTTCAAATATCCAAGCATCCAAAACATAAATCAAAACATATAATCATCCAAAATCAAACAATCCATAAACATTCAAAATGTTAAAACAATAAGTTCTAAATCCACGAAAGCAAAAACAAGGCAAGGTCTAGTCGTCCATAGGAGGATCAGGAGGAGGATAATGTGCTTGTACTTCATATGTGAGAGCATCCATACGTTCACGCATCTCCCGTTGAAACTCAGTCAGTTGAGATTCCATGGAAGCAAACCTCATATCAAATGACTCCATAAATGATCAAAAATATGGAGGCATTTGTTCCTCTTGCTGTGCTAGTTCCGGCGCGGGCTCATCGTCTGGTACGTGATCGTCAATATCTTGCATAAGATGTTGAAACTCTGGATCATCGTCCGCAGTTGGTGCCAGTGAAGGTGGTGCATGCGAAGAACTAGGTACAGGAGGAGCTCGTGAAGAACTAGCTCCCGGAGTTTGCTTAGTGGGTCTATACTCCCATTGACCCGTTACCTTATTTTGTTTCCATCCGGCTTTCTTTAAGGAAGTTAGGTTGATTTGGTTTTGGAGAGGCATGAAAATGTCAACCAAGACCTTAAGCTTTAGTCGGATAAACAATTTAGAAAGAAGACACTCGTAAACTAAAGTTTCAACATTTTTGGAAGGAATGACGTTTACGGTATCAATAAGCTCACTAAAGATAATTTGTGGAAAATTAATCTTCTTATTATGTTGGATACAATGTATCCACCATAAATCTATGACTCTAAGTTTGAAGTACCTACCTCCAGATGGTCTAAACCACCAAGAGATCATCAAATGAAGGAAATGATCGTGATGAGTTTGTAAGGTACTAACATTATCATTAGACTTATAGGGAGTAGCCAGAATATCTTTTTCATTATCTATCCCATCATCATCTAAACCGAAAACATCATTATTTGTTTTTGAATTGATAACAATGACTTCTCCTAAGAGATAGGATCGTATGCCCAAGGTTGCGGTTTGACTAGCATTTTGAACACAGATCACATTTGAATAAAAAAAATGCGAACTAATTGTTGATAGACAATGGGTTGAATTTAACACAATTTATCAAATTTTCAGGAACAAAGAACTGGGAGATATGTAAAGTTAATATCTTCCATTGCTTGAATAGAAGGGATACATTCCTCTCGAATTTTGTAGGATTAAAAATGACTGACAAACCTATCATATAATTCAACTCTACGACGAACGGGTTGGTTGAAGAAAGAGTTGAGAATGGTTAACTCGGGTTCATTTTGGTTTGGATTTTGTGGAGGAGGAGGAATAGGAGGGCGGTTAGATCGACTTGAAGAGGACCTAGGTCGTTTTGGATTAGACATGATTTAAGGAGTGGAATGGGATAGGTAACCTGCAAATTTAAAAACATGTATGCAATATAATCAATCCCAAAACTCAATTGAGTCTGCAATAATTCAAGGTTCTCTAAACCGAATCCTGATGGGCAAGTTTTTTTTTTGAAAAATTTTGAAAACAACGTTTGAAAAATCAATGTGTAGTTTTCAAATCAACATAATGAAAACAAAAACATCAAATTTAAAATTAAATTAAGATTTTCGATTTTTTTTATTTCGAAATTCTTGAAAATTCTTGAAAAATTTAGTGTTTTTGATAAATTTGATTATAGAATCTAGTTTCTAAACACTAAACAATCAATGCCCGATGTAATGTTCATCCTAGAACTAATCAAAACTAATTCTAAGTTCATAAATCAATAAAACAGAGGTTTTGAAATATTACCTTAAAAATTTTGGATTGAGAGGAATGTGATCACTACAAGAAAATATATCTTTAATGACATATGAACGATGACACACGCTAATTTATGACTTGCAAAACATGTGTGTCATTAAAAAAATGTCATGGTTTTTAAAATCTGAACGATTTATGACTTACAATAATGTGTGTCATATTTAATAGTCATAATCCAAAAAAATTACAAAAATACGGAGTATAGTTTTAATTGTGTGTCATATTTAGGAGTCGTATTTTAATTCCCCCCCCCCATTATTTTCATCATTCCCGCTTCTTCCCCCTTGATAATAAGTTTGAACCTTGAAATTATTTCAGGTTCTCACAAATGACTCAAGATGTGGAGATGAAAGAACAACCAGCTCATTCCAATTCCGTTACTTCATCTTCTCCATCCACTTTGCACCGTAAGCTCACTCCATCTATGCATCTATAACACCCATATTCCCCCTCCCGTATTCATATTTTTTACGCTTGGGGGTAGAACTTTGATTTGCTATTTTCTAATGTTTCTGAACTGGGAACTTGTGGGATTTCTTGGATTTGAATAAATTCTTCTGGGTTTATGTTAGATTTGAAGGAAATTGCGTTTTAGACTAGCCAATCAAGATGGTTTCAATCCATGAGCCATATAAGGCTGCAAGTTTCCCTTTTGTCTTTCAAGTTAATTTGTTTAGGGTTTTTAGTTTTTCACGGAATTTGATCGGATCCTGGTAGATTTGGAAATTGATTCGTTCGTATTCTTTACAGAGTTTTTTCCCGTCAATGACCAAGATAGTGGGAACTTTAGGTCCATGGTTTCGACCTGTTGATGTTATTTCTGGTTGTCTTAAAGCTGGAATGTTTGGTACTGTATTTTCAGACTCACTTCTTTTTAGTTACTACTGTGTTATTGGAAGAAATATTTATTTATTCGTTTGTTTTTGTCTTTCTGTAGTGGCTAGGTTCGATTTCTCGTGGCATGATCCGAAGTGTCATTAGGAAACTTTAGAAAATTTAAAGGTCGCCGTTAAGCTAACTAAAAAGCTTTGTGCCGTAGGTTATTTATATATGGATTGATTTTTGTTCATTTTTGAACTTATGTTTATTTCCTTGAAAATTTGATCTGTCTGAATGTTTCCCTGAACCAATGTCCCCTGCCCCTACATCTCTTTGTTCTGAACCTTTACCGGTTCGATCCCTCGGTCCGTTTTCTGGTCTGGTTATTTGCGTCACTGGCTTATCTAAAGGTTAGTTATTTTTGGTTTGATTGTTTTGGGGTACTTCTTACAGTGTACTACTGTCTGAGTTTGATAAAAACTCGTATGATTTCGAGTCTAGGTACTTTGAATTTTGATTGAACTCATCATGTTTTTCCATTACATGTCGATGTTTCTCTTTTGCTTGCAGAAGCAAGGAGACAATTCGTGGAGGCAACAGAGAGATTAGGTGGTCAATACAATACTAGTTTACATCCTCAATGCACCCATTTGGTGGTCCAAATATCCTTTCTCGTATTGTTTGGTTTTAAATCACTTAGATTTTAGCTTAATGTGAGACTTGGCTGGCTTGGGATAAAGAGAATGCATATGGATATTATATGTCATGTGATGATAATAAGGTTTCCTATTATCTTGTCTTTGTATTGTCTCTGATGCTGCAAGTGCAACTGTTATAATGAGCCTTAATATTAGTTACAATGTTAGTGGACGCCCCAAAAAAATCACGAATGTGGTGGACACCAGAACTTCATGAAGCCTTTGTTGAAGATGTCAACCAATTGGGATGCAGTGAAAGTGTGTTACTTTCATTTCTCATGAAACTTTTTCCAAAATATGTTATGTTTTAATTTGTTTGGTATTTTCAACTTACAGGAGCTACTCCAAAGGGTGTGTTGAAGCTTATGAAAGTTGAAGGCTTAACAATTTATCATGTTAAAAGTCATTTGCAGGTGTATAGACTTTTCTATTAGTTATTAATTTATATATATATATATATATATATATATATATATATATATTAAATGTGTACACAAAGGCTTGGATTTGATTACCCTTTAATCGATATCTTCATTGCAGAAATACAAAATAGCTAGATACAGACCAGAGCCATCCGAAGGTATATGTTAATCTCCCTTTAAGTTTCTTCATTTTCCTTAGCTGTGTTACTTCTCTGCAAGCATGCATCTATTGTCTTTGTTTCTTTATTGGAACTTATATATTTTTTAAAAGGGTGTTCATTCCTTGATATTTGTTCAATGTTTTCTCTTTGTGACTTATATTGGGGTTGAGATGGATATTTTGGAGCTACATAGTCCAACTTGGCCTCATCAATGAAGTGGATATCAGTTTTAAAAAATAGTTAATTGGTTCCAGAATCTTTAGCTATCCAGTGAAGATTTATGATGCATGTCTAGCTTGCACTCGATAATCTCCCATCCCATACTAATATAATGAAAGTTATTGCAGTCTATGTGAATGTTGATATTTAAAAAAAAAATTGATTTTTGGCTTTTTGTTGGACTGTACATGGATGCTTAAGTTATCAAGATATGTGCGTTATTTTTTAGAGATGGGATTTATCTAAATTCACTTAGACCAGGAAAGTTTAGTTAAATGCCCTCATTTGTTTGATTGATTAAGGATTTTCAGAGTTCAAACTCACTATGTTACTCCTTATAATAATTGGAATATATAACTAATTTTGGTAAATAGATATCAATCACCTTTTCCTCTGAGCAAAGTAGAATTCAGTAGCACGTTTGTTGCAAGTTTGAATGAAAATCATCATTATAACCGAGAAGGATGAGTGAATTACCCATATGTAAATAGAAGTATCCCCTTAAATAACAGTGTAACTGTGAGAAATGAAAAGTAAAGTTTTTAAAGCTTAAGATACCTTTACCACAAATTTACTTGATTTTTCGTTCTTTTCATATTACTTAGTGATGAATGATGACTTGATAACCATAAATGAAAATGTTTGCTCTTTAAAAATGTTTGGACTACTTTATGTTCTCACCTGAAGATAGTTGATGCTTGATTAATATATGCAAAGTATTAGTTCTTATATGTCATCAACAGTTGGTTCAAATAAAGAGTGGAAACCAAAGGTGATCAACTCTAATTTTGGGAAGGGTTCGGGAACAAGCTGGTGCATCTGATGTTCCTACTAGTTCAGTTAAAGCTAATGCTCATTCGCAGCCTGTTTCAAGAGTTGTCAGCTTTGAAGAAGCAACTTCAAAATTGCAGAAGAAGCTAGGGGAGTTGTATACGTCAACATGTTTGATATTCGCAAAGAATGGGTATCTTATGTGGAAAACTTTATTATGCCGTGATATTTTGTATCGACATATGATTACAATATTTTTGATAACTTAATGTTAATATATTGTATGCAAATGGATTGCTTATATATAATATGATATATATATTTAGTATTATGAGGCATTAAATGTGATTTAGTTTGATTATTTGTCAATCTACAATATATATATATATATATATATATATATATATATAAAATTTACGACATACAATCACGACACACAAATGTGTGTCATCTTTTCTAATAACTCGTGCTTCAATGACACCCAATGTAAGTCATAAATGTGTGCCATAAATTTATGACACACAAATGTGTGTCGTCTTCATTTATGACGGGGGCTTCAATGTCGCGCAATGAGCGTCATAAATGCGCGTCATAAATTTATGAACCACAGTTACGCATCATCTTAAATTCATGTTGGTGGCTTCAACGATAGGCAAATGTGTGTCATCCTTACCCATAGATGACGTGCAATGCGCATCATTAAAGGGGGTTTTCTACTAGTGGATGTTGTTTTGCACGATTTAATGATACAAGTAGGATTTGGAGTTGAAAAACGATCGAAATCCATCAAAAATACGTTGATTTGAGGCAAATGGAGAGTTTAGAGAGAGAGAGGGACGAACAACGGCTTGAGAGTTTTTAAGAGTGTTTGAGAAAATAAAAAAGAAATAGGGTTTTTAACCAAAAACCCGACGGATGCATCAATGCATGGCATTGTGCATCGTTGCACATTCAAGGAGTGAATCGGTGCATCTTCATGATGTATGGATGCACATTCAAAGGGATGCATTGATGCACATTCATAGTGTATCGATGCATTATGCACAAAAATGTCAAAAATCCGTTTTAAACACTTAAAATGCTAAATAATTTAGCTCTAGTGGTATTGACAACTCATATATTGAAAATTAATCATTTTCAATCAATCAATTTAATCCTTAAAATACATTTGAACATAAAATTAATTTTCACTAAGAATCATAAACTCCCCCTAACTAATAGCAAATAATGCAATCAAAATAGTTATAAGCATTTTTTTTATTTTTAAAAATGCTAAAAATTATTTTAAACACTAAGTGAAGATATGTCAGTTAAACCTAATTCTCTCCTAAGTGTCCAAAATCTTTCTTTGTCTAAAGGTTTTGTAAAGATATCCGCTAATTGGTGCAAAATATCAACAAATTATAGAACTACATATTCCTTAGCCACATGGTCTCAAATGAAGTGATGTCTAATTTCAATATGCTTAGTTCTAGAGTGTTGGATGGGATTTTTAGTTAGACAAATAGGACTAGTATTGTCACACTTGATAGGAATTGTACTTACTTTAATTCCATAATCAAAAAGTTGTTGTTTCATCCATAAAACTTGTGCACAACAACTACCGGCTGAAATGTATTCCGCTTCAGTGGTAGATAATGCAACACAATTTTGTTTCTTTGAAAACCAAGAAATCAGTATATTTCCAAGGAATTGGCAAGTACCGGAGGTGCTTTTCATATCCAATTTGCATCCTCCATAATCCGTATCAGAGAAGGCATGCAAGCTAAAGCTAGAGTCTCTAGGATACCAAAGTCCTAAACTAGGAGTGTCCTTAAGGTATCTAAAGTTTCTCTTAACAGCTAGTAAATGTGATTCCTTAGGACATGATTGAAATCTAGCACATAAGCAAACACTAAACATAATGTCCGATTTACTTGCGGTTAGATAAAGCAAAGAGCCAATCATTGACCTATACAATTTAACATCCACACATTTACCTCCTTCATCTTTGTCAAGCTTTGTTGATGAACTCATTGGAGTGACATGAGGTTTCCCATTTTACAGTCCAAACTTCTTGGCATATCCTTGACGTACTTAGCTTGATTTATGAAGATGTCATCTTTTCTTTGCTTGATTTGGAGTCCCAAGAAAAATGAGAGCTCCCCCATCATGCTCATCTCGAATTCACTTTGCATTAGCTTAGAAAATTTTTGGCAAAGAACATCATTAGTAGAACCAAATATTATATCATCAACATAAATTTGAACTACTAATAAATCTTTACCTTTATGCTTTAAAAACAATGTAGTGTCAACCTTCTTTTTTGAAAAACCTTTTTCAATTAAAAAGTTTGACAATCTTTCATACCAAGCTCTAGGAGCTTGTTTTAAACCATAAAGCGCTTTTGTCAATTTAAAACATGATCTGGAAATTTTGAATCTTCAAAACCAGGAGGTTGTTCCACATACACTTCTTCTTTTATAAAATCATTTAAAAATGCACTTTTAACATCCATTTGATATAATTTAAACTCATTAAAACATGCAAATGCTAATAACATTCTAATTGCTTCCATCCTAGCTACAGGAGCATATGTTTCATCATAGTCTATGCCTTCTTCTTGAGTATAGCCTTGAGCAACAAGTCTAGCCTTGTTTCTCACTATATTACCACTTTCATCAAGCTTATTCCTAAATAGCCATCTAGTACCTACAATAGATTTATTACTAGGCCTTTCAACTAATGTCCATACTCTACTTTTCTCAAATTGATTCAACTCTTCTTGCATAGCCATAATCTAATGTTCATCATTTAATGCTTCTTTAATATTCTTAGGCTCTATGTATGAAATAAATGCAACATAATTACATATATTTCTAAGAGAAGATCGAGTTGTTATCCCTTTGGATGTATCACCTATTATTTCACCATCATGGACATAGTTGTATTCCTTTGGGTAAGAGACTTCCCTTTCTTCAATGGTTGGATTCTTGAGAGGATCTTGAGTTTCCTCATCTTTCGTTTCTTCATTTGATGATGGTTCTCCAACGTCATGTCCAATGTCATTTATGTTTATAATACCTACATCATCATTCACACAAGAATCCTTCCTCGAAATGAGATATTCATCGAAAACAACATGTATAGACTCTTCTACAACTAAAGTTCTTTTATTAAATACTCGATAAGCTTTAGAATTTAAGGAATAACCCAGAAAAATTCATTCATCACTTTTAACATCAAATTTGCCAAGATTGTCTTTACCGTTATTTAAAACAAAACATTTACATTCAAAAGGATGAAAATATCTAATGTTAGACTTTTTTTTAAAAAAAGTTCATATGGAGTTTTCTTCAAAATAGGCCTAATCATTACTCGATTAATAACATAACAAACGGTATTTGTGGCTTCCGCCCAAAAA